ATCGAACGATATGATAGTTGGGGCCGATTCTAGTTTGTCTATGAATTAAAAATAAAAACTACGGTTGTGTGACATGCGTGAGAAAAGTTTTCATTTGCCGCCATTTCGCCAGTCGTCACTTGCAGTTTCTGAACACATCACAGAGAGCAAATATGTGTGTAAATAAAGTAGTGTATGTAACTGTACACAATTAGGCATAAAAACACTCGTGAGATGTTTTTATGAAACTCGCCTGTCAGTTCGTTTCATAAACCCACACTCGAATTTTAATATGTATGTATACCTTTCATTATGTAATATTCACATAAACTAGTATAATTACATATTTTTTATTTAATTTAATAATCATAAGAAACACAATTTCACTCAGGCTTATTCAAAATAGTAACAGCATAAGAATAACATTTGTTAAATGTTGAAGTCAAGTAGAATTCTTGATACAGATTAAATAGGTAAGTAGTCTTGTTTAATATTCTTGCTGGAATGTACTTTAAACTTGTATTAATAATAATGTTAATTGATAACTTGTTATGTAATAATATTTCCTAGAAAACGCAATGCGGTTCCGGCAATGATTTTCAGTTATGATTCATAGTGAGCAAGTCGGAAAGTATTTCATTAATAAACTGAAATAAAAACGTACGTGACAATGGCTTGGCTGCTGGCAAATATGACAAATTCCTATTGGATATAAAAAAAACTATATAAGTATTGTTTTCATTTCGTACAGTGTCGAGAGTACGTCCAGCTTGACACCTAAGCTTTTAATTCAATTAATATGCCACTAGCGCTAAAAACTGTCCAAAGAGTCACACTTTACGTGTTTCGGACTGTACGTTATTATTTTATTTTATATTTTGTCAGTTTTCTAATAATTACTTTCTTATTACGTGACTTACTCAAACCACTTTGAAATTGTAATGTATCCACCGAGGTGTCAATAAACCATTTATTTATCGACATTACGTTGATCATAACTAAATACATATAATGAAGACGCTGATGAAAAAGATGGGGTATTAAAAGCAAATAGCAATTAATAAAAAAATACTACAGTTTAGTTTGGTGGCATCACACAGATTGCAAAAGAAAGATTCCAATCATACTATTTCAACAAGTCCGGCCGTGACATCGAGTATATAACCAGAAATAGAGACGAAATGTCATTTAAATTGTTTGAAAACTATTCTGCCAAATCATTACGGTGACGGCCAGCCCGAATTCGACAATTGACGACACCCGTCAATTATTTCACTTCAAATCGACCAGTTTAACTTGAGCTTTGCTATAATAGACGAAAACTTAAAAATTATATATTTAATATTTGATTACCGATGAAATGTGATTCCGTTTGTTTTGTAATTAGACGTTTTTCTCACGCCACTGAATGGAACAGCCCCCCATTAATAGAAATATTTTCTTTATTACAATAAATACAACATATTTTTGGAATATACGGAGACGTACACGCAGTACAGTTGTTGGCGCTGTACTATTTCTGCTTTCTAATTTGTGATTTCAGCGTAAGCGAGAGTGATAGTGATTGTACTTAAAAGTGATACAAGGCCCATTTGCCTGTCGAGTTGCCGTGGGATGGATGGCCCTTATTTCGTCTCCATTTCTGGTTAATATATTCGATGAACCGTGACAACAAACAAAGTATCTATAAGCCGAATGCAAAGTCAAATAATGTGTAGAACATAATTGTTTTCATGTATGTCTTAAATTTGCAATAAATAAATAACTAAACCATCATAAGTAGATATACATGTAAGTTTGAAATCCAGTATGCAATTCGTAGGATTCTCAGACGTAAGTATCCAAATCCAATGCGGAATTATTAAAAAAAAAATTAAGTAATCAATAGCGTACAATAGAGACACATTTCGTGTTGCAGAAGTATCAGATCTACTTTAAGTAATTCACATTTTTTTAGGGCTGCCGGTGCCGCGTAAGTAAAAAGGATCCACTTTAAGATTACTTACGTATAAATCTGTCATTTTATTTATTTATTAAGCATTGGCAATTTGACTATCTGCTTAAACAGGTAAGAAATTATTAAGGAACTCAAAACGTAATTGTACCACAAACGACATGCATTCGCGCATTCTGTGGCGCTAAACCAGATGGCACATGCAAGCCCTTGTTCAAATAATAATCTCAGTACAGAGTACTAAAAAAACCGACCTCAAAAGTACGTAAAATTACGTCTATTTGCCAAGTTTTATTTAGAGATAATAAAAATCGGTTCTCACCACTATAATAACACAATAATAACACACACACTCAACATAGCCCCGCACTAGGGAAACCCTGTGTCGCGGGTGCCATGGACACACATATAGACAAGCACACTTTACACCCAAACTCACGAGAGAAACAAATGTAGGTCATACAAATATTTCTCCCGGCCCGGGAATCGAACCTGGGACCTCTGCGTAGCAGTCCGGCATCGTAACCATTCGGCCACAGAGGCAGTTATTATATTATATATATATACACTCAAAGTATAGTAAGAGAAAAACGCCTTCAATTGGAGAAATAGCAAAATCAACCATTAAAATGATCGCTACTTAGTAAAATTTAGGCGTTATTTATAAAAATGAATCTTCATGCGTGAACAACTACTCTTAGAGGTGGATGATTTTCTTCAAAATGAAATGGGACCACTATGGAAGTACCCCCTTTCCAACACGTTATCACAGTTATCGCGTAACATACATACAAAAAAAACATACAGTCGAATTGAGAACCTCCTCCTTTTTTGAAGTCGGTTAAAAACTCAATATGCTCTCTCTCGCCAGTATGCATGTTAGAGACATCTGTGTGTTTGTCAAGTCAAGACTCACTCTCAACATTTCAGAATACGTGGCGAAATTATTCAACGACAAACTCGAGTTAAAATTATGAACCAATTATACCAACCTCGCTGCCATAAAATAATGTATACGAATAACTGCTTTTCGTGCGAGTACAAAAAAGTCTTCGTTCGCAACTGGTATCGTACAAAACACAATTATGTTACTTTCGCAACTGCTTACGAACCTCCGGTTTCGTACGCGGCCGAAGGGCTTCAACATGTGCATGAAGATTTTTAATAATTTACCAAATGACATTAAATTACTACAAGGACGTACTTTTAAACTACAATTGATAAGATGACACATTGCTTCTATAGTGATAAAAAATATTTCGAATTTACAAATACTAATTAACAATATTAAAATACAAGAAACAATAAATTCCATTACATTTGCACACCAATTTGCAGGTTTAATACATTGTACCTAAATTAATTTAAGATCTGTATATTTACTGTATTCTGACAAATAAACGTATTCTATTCTATTCTAATAATACTTAAACTAAAAATTAATTTGTATAAAAATTGTAACAATAAAGACGCGCCATTTTTATTTATGCCACAAACATTATTTTCAGTTTTTTTTTACTCAAATACGCAACGATGTTAATCATATACAGCCAAGATACCATTTGACTTAGAAATTTGGGATAATAATACATGTTAGTCAAGTCAGATAATATTGTTCAACTTTAAGTAGTAATTCATTAATATTCTGCGCTGATAAGCCGAAAAGCGCTATCTTAATCGGAGTAAGTTTTGAGAAAATGGACTTTTTGTAAATTGTATTTTTGAACATGTTAGAACTTATTTATACATATTTTTGACTAATAGATTTATTGACATACCTAAATTATCCACAAATTGTACCATTAGGAATACCTATTTTGTGAGATACCACCATTTTGATTTCAAAGAAAGCCGCCAAATTTATTAATAATTTAAGGAAAAATTGAGATATAAAAATACTTCTTAGTGGTTTTTTCAATGTTTTAAGTCAGATAGCGTTATTTCTATTGTATTATTAGATGCGAAATTATTATAGCTATTGAATTGTACTAAAAAAAACTAAAAGGGCGTATCACAGAGATAGCGTCCTTCGGCTTAGCAGGGCTTTGTACAGCAGGTGAAAGACGCAGTGAAAAAAAATCATGTGAACTGTCTTGAGAGGGCTAGTAATTATTACAAATTTCAATTCAGGTTTTTTGAAGTAAATAACACACAATTCACTCAACCAAATAATATTAAAAATAGTGACGCCGGTTGAAGTTTTAGAAAACGTCATACATAGTTGTAGTACTATATAACTGCCTCCGTGGCCGAACGGTCACCATGCCGGACTGCCACGCAGAGGTCCCAGGTTCGATTCCCGGGTCGGGAGAAATATTTGTATGGCCTACATTTATTTCTCTCAGGAGTTTGGTTGTTATTTGTGGTTGTCTATGTGTGTGTCCAAGGCACCCGCGACACAGGGTTTCCCTAGTGCGGGGCTATGTTGAGTGTGTGCGTTATTATTAATTATTAACACAAAGATAGAACAGAAAAAAATGCTTCGATCTGATAGGACTGCCCTAGATTGGCATACAGACACAGATCCTCTGTCAAATTGAAGGTATTTCCTTAGTGTTCGATTTTTGTATCAACTAGAACAAACTAGTGGAGTAATTTCACAAAAATGAATTAGTATTGTGGATTGTGATAGTAAAACTTGATAATATTTACTGTGTAATGAATATTATCAATATTATCAGTATTATCAATGTATGTATGTAGTAAAACTTGATAATATAAATCATTGTCATACATTGAAAAAGAAACCAGTGCTGGTGTAAGTAAACCGTACTAGGCCTACATAGTTTATTTAGTTACAGAGTCGCAACATTTACTAACACTTTTACATGCAAAAAAACAAAACGTAAAACAATCAACTTAAAAAGTAACGATCATTAACTGTGATCGGACTTGAGAGAGTCAATTTAACTAAACTGAAGAATAACGTGAACATTACCTTTTAAAAATCCCGTAACTTCTCGGAACTGATTAATTATTTTGAGTATGCGTATTATTTATTGAAATTTTAATGTATTGGTGACAAATTATTACAAATTATTGTCTCAAATTGTAGTCCTGTTTCTTTCTATAGTATGTTTCTAAAATTAATATGAAACAACGTATACTTCGGACTGTTTAGAAAATAAACGATAAAAAAAGACATTTTATACGCATTAATGACGAAATGGGTATGTCAATACTAAAAAAACTTCAATTATCATTAATAAGGATGTTGAATAGCATGCCCATGAGATTCCACCACAGTGTCACCATAACTTGACTCACCAGCCGCGCTATGCGCAACAGGTTGACTGACCGATTGATGCGTCAAGTCTGGGTAATGCGCCACCACTGGCGCATGGACTGGTACTGGATATGGTACCCTAACAGGTACTGGGGCTGGTATACTTATTGCATACGGTTGTGGCACTGGTATTCCCACTCCTTGAGTAATCGTCACTGGTACAGGATGAGCTATTGGATACGGGAATGGCCTATCTATAGGTACCGCTACTGGACGTGGTACGAAGTGGGCGACTGGGTGAGGTACCGCTACAGGTACAGGGCGAGGTTGATCGACTGGTACACCTATGTGGACTGGATATGGTACAGGTCTCGGTATTGCAATTGGTATTGCTTGTGGAACTGGGATTGGTACCCTGTTGTATAATTCGGAGACAGTATGTCGTGTTGGTACGTGTGACGCATCTCGCTTTGTTTGATCCGTAAGTACTTGAGTTGTGTAGATGAGTAGGATTATCTGTAACGATTATTATCAGAGGTCAATAAAATGCAAACAATATATCGAAGACACTGAAAAAATATTAAGGCATTGAGCAAGTGTTTTATTTTGACATTTTGCATTTTAAATACTTTCAGGCGTTTCGTACACAGAAACAAATTTGTCTATATCAACTTTGGATACTCGTAAATTTAACTTTAAATAAAATTCCCTAAATAAGAGATGAATTGATTATTCTAAATTACCAAATAATCTACTCACAAGTCGTCGTCCCATTTTCTAAGTCCGTGTATGTTGCGGCAAGGAAGGAAAGTGGTCGCCAGCAGGAAAATGAGGTATTTATAACATGTGTGGCAGTCTAGCAGACACACTGCGGAAATCGGGTCTGTTTACACTACTTACAACCCTACGAAGAAAGCGCCAATAGATTTATATAGAGCGGATACTTACCATCTAAATATACCTTAGTGTTTTACGCAATTGCCGTGAGGTTGAAGACCAACCCTCTAATTATCCGGTGATAATTTCGTAAAGTTACGGCTTCACGTCTGACGGCAAGCCGGACTAAAGCGGATCGGGGGGAATGCTGGCGGTTTTCTTTTTCATATTATTACTACAAATACACATTTTGAAAACGGAGTTATACGTTATACAAGCTCCTAAAAAACCTTCCCTGATTTACGCCGTACTAACCATTAGTAGTTGTTATGTTTTTTAGAGATAACGTCGGATTTTTTCTATCGAAGAAACTACAGTTAATCGTGTTTCTAAAGAGTATGATAGAGTGAATTCTTAAATACCTTATACATTAATTTCATAACTAAAGCTTTAGTAATAACGATACAGCAAGGGATCAAACGAACGCAATTATTTCGCCATTATCAATTGCTGCCTCGGCGCTATCTTAAAGACGGCAGCACGCGTCTGTGAAAGATACGTGGATTGGTAAAAATTATCACCGTGAGGTGGTCCATAATGGTGAGTGATACGACACGCTGAAAGTCCATAAAGGTACTATATTCTATTGCCACTGATCTGCAACGGCACACTAAACAAGGGTATTATTGCAAATTCACCTTTTTGGAAATGTCTACGTATGTTCTGCAGTGATCTTAGATAAAGGTCATTTCACAATTACACTCTTTTTTTATGGAAAACAATTTCAATAGCCCCAAGTTGTAATTTTGAGAAGTGAAAATGCTGGTAGTGTATTTCATTCCTTTGCTGTTAGCATTAGGAAGGTGGAAACAAAGCGTTTCTTGAGAAACGGTCTTATATCATTGACATAAGGCTGGAATGTGACTTTCTAGTCGACCGAAGAAGGACAGTGAGGTTGAAACTCAATTGTAGAGTTCCCGGGCGCACTTTCCGAAATGTATCTGATACAAAACCGACAAGCAGGGCATAGCTTCCTACGTATGTAGATACAGTCAAGTTAGGCTAACATCTGCCATAGTTAAACCCATATATTTCCAGTAATAGAACCGTGTATGAAGAGCAGAGATCCTCAAACTTTTGTCTCGTAGACCACGGTCAGTTCTGTTTTTCGTAAAGCCCTTGACTTTCTAATGATTTTTTTTTAGAAATTCATGAACTTCAAAAAATAGCGACATCTCTAGCCAGGGCTGGTAACTGTAAAGGTATCTAACTGGGTGATGTAATACTTAAGATTTCTCATAGATGGCGCCACGGCTAAAAAGTCATTGAAAAAAACAAATACAAAGACACGACAAAAAACACATAGACAAATTCGTGAAGTCCGCTGGTTCATTCCATGGCTTAGTTGGTATAGCGGCTGCCACGGTATGCTAGAAGACGTCGGTTCGAATCCGGCTGGACCGAAGGAATTTTTTCTGAGTGTTCGATCTTTGTATTAATAATTATAACAAACTTCAAATGTGTTTTGTAGTGCTGACTCTAGTACTACCATAGTATAATTAGACAAGTATGGTAAAGGTGTATAGCTTAATGTGCTGTTGACTGTACATACTATTTAGTATACTGTACTCTGTGTACTATCTGTGTAATGTGGATTATTCTATTTATGAAAGCCAAAATTTTAGTTACTACCTGCCTAAGAGTTTCACTCTAGTGGACCCCCATCAACATCCCAAGTACCTATTATTTTTTTGACTGATGTGGACCCCTTGTAAATGGAAGACGTCCTCTTCAATGTGCTTTGGGAATCATTGGTCTAGAGAATGACTTTTACGTGTTTTGTAAGGTATAAATAGCACAGCACACACATAGCTAAAATATGAAGGGCAAAATCGTTGTAACAGCTCTAGATAATATTATTTAATACACCCGTTAAGGTCCACATGTCGCTTCAACTCGTCAATGTTCTAGACCAGAGCGTAACCGGCCAGCCCAAGTCGCCATTACTACCATTATATAACACACGGCTGCACCTACATTGTGGATTCTTGTATTATTAATAACACTCTATTTACGGTAGAGTTGCAGTCAGATTAATCGATAAAGTATCCTGCGAATATCAGTGTTACCTGCGAGAAACCTATGAAAGTTTTTTCTTCACTCTGGGAGGTTCTGGGAGTTACAGCTACCACCCGCCGACTAGAGATGGCATTTTAATAATTGTAATTAAGTTTTTTTTTAATGTCAGGACGATTCACGACCATGATATTATTTTTTATGAAATTGCTCCACTAGTTTGTTATAACTTATTACACAAAGATTAAACGAACAATAGAAAAAAAATCACTTCGATCTCGTTAGATTCGAACCAACGTCTCTCAGCAAACCGTGGCAGCCGCTATGCCAGCTAAGCCACGGAAGAAACGGACGTCACGTATTTTTCCATGTGCTTGTTGCAGATCTTTGTTTTGATTTTTAACGACTTGTTTGTCGTAGCGCCATCTGTGAGAAATCTATAAAAGTTTTTTCTTCATGTATTGTCTATGTGTTTGTGTAAGGAGCACGGTGGTAAAATCAGACAAAAACATTGCTTGATATATTTTTTTTTACGATATCGAGTGACGAGACAAGCAATAGCCGTGCGCCTGGTGGTAAGCGACACGCGTGCCCATAACAGTTGCTTAGCTGTACTCATAAAGATCTGAGAGGCACTGCCTCTGCGTCCATCACCCTGAGATATAAAATTGACAAGTCCAATGTGCCTCCTGTAGTTTCATCAGCACCCATATCTTTCAAAACCGGAACGCAGTGATTCTCACATTACTGCATGGCGACAGAAATAGGTAGATAGTATTTGCGTGAACGACCTCTTTGAAAGAATTTTTATCAAGTATCAGTAGAACAAGGAGTTCTACTGATACTTGATAAAATTACTGTGCAGACATATCAAAATGTTTTAAAATCAGCAGTGCCCTTGCGGCCATGTTTGCTCTTGCGATATTCTTTTGCAGCCATTGGTCGCAGCCCTCGCGATGCGACAAAAATATGACGTTCCGGTGTTGGCCATGTTAGCTATTGTGATAAAATTTTAAAATGGCGGCATTGTCACTAGAATTTGACAGATAAACGTGGAAATAATAGCTTTATCGCGGTGGCATGCCAAGGGGTCAGATTTACTTAACCTCTAGCCTTAAACTCAGTGACTCAGTCAGTTAAAGATAAATCAGAACATCACCGTCTTCGAGCCGGATAGTCTTAACATTTAAGATTTACGTATTCAAATACAAAAAGAAAAATACGAAACAAATGTTAGTAAGTTTACTTGCTAAGGATTGCTGCGACAGGTCTCACGAGACTCACGAAACTCACGAGAGAAACAAATGTAGGCCATACAAATATTTCTCCCGGCTCGGGAATCGAACCAGGGACTTCTGCGTAGCAGTCCGGCATGGTCACTGTTCACACACGGAGGCTGTGATAAAGAAGGCCAAGGACCTTGTATGGCTACATTTGGGATTTATTGGCGATTGCGTCGATGCAATCGCGCGTTTCTATCGTTGCTGTCGCGTTTGTAAACGTAGACAATTAGCGACCGCACCGCGTTTGCATCGCTGCTAAAAGTAGCCGTGTGTGACCGCTCTTACTAATGCACCTTTGGGGTAATAACGCTACATCGGCAAAATCACAACTTTTCAGGAGAAAGGTTTCAAGATTCTGGTAACGAAATTATATAGTAGATAAATAGAAGAATTATAAAATTTTAAATTTATGTAAATGGTCTCACGTGATTGTATTATTGTTACGACTTTCATGTGATATAATATAACATTTTTATTAAAAAAACGACCTTAAAAGTGTGCTTATGGGCTTTTTCATTGAATTTACGTCTATTTGCCAAGTTTTTTTTTAATTCGGTTAATGGAAAGTGCGCGAAATTGGATTTATCTCTAGTTTGCCACCCTTATAGGTGGAATATTTTCTTCTTATTTAAATGGGACCAGTACTGAAGTTCTTTCCAATAAAGTTATGGCGTAATGTACACACAAAAAATACTGTCGAATTTGGTACCTCCTTGTTTGAACTCGGTTAAAAGCACATTTGACGTATGATCACATGTGGTTTTATTGCACCACGGGTATGATAATGAGGATATCTACGGTGAATGGTAAATTTAAACATGTCGCCAAAATTGTGGGTTATCATTTTTTTATGTATCAAAGCCAGACAAAGCAGTTCACTACGATTTTGTGGAAACTACTTTCAAGAAAAAAATATTTATTTTTGTTTTGGTTTTGTAGCACACGCTCATTCGTTATAAAGAGGATGTGACGTCAATACTGTCTACAGTTAATCTTATCTCGAACTATAATCTCGTGCGATAAGTCCTAATTGAAATAAATCTTTCATTGTTAAGGACATATGTGCACCTGTGTTTTATAATACTAAAGTGAGCACTGAAAATAATTACCACAGGTCGATATCGGGAGAATATATTTACCTGAACTGAGTATAATATGTAGAGTGAGGTCCCTATGAAATACCGAAATTATTAAAAGTATAAGGCAATAAATAGTGTCAAAATTGTTAAATTTTTACTTACAATTGCGAAACTTTTTATTGTAAGTTTAACTAGTAATACCTATTTATACATTAAAAATAAAATATAACACGATATAATAAGTTTTTATGTATTTTATAATAATATACAATACAACAATACCCTCACAGACCTATTTAGAACCCCTAAAAAAAATTGAATTATGGTAGGTAACTATCGAGTTCTTAGGTTTTCGCGATTGTTACACATAGGAAATGCAACTATTTTTCCGGATTTAAAAAAAAAAACAAATATACGCGATATTTGTTTTTTCAACCGCAAAAATATTTAGCTAGAAAAAGGAAGTAGAAGGGATAAACAAGCTCTATAGGCTTTATAGCTTTGTTTGAGCAATGTAAAATATAATAACAAATATTAAAATATAAGTATAACTTGGATTTTATTAGGA